GTTATTATAGGATTTGATTTTATTTCTTATTTTTGGTACTCAGTACTTAAAATTCAATATTTATCGTAGTTGACTGCATTTTATAATAAAATTAGTACATTAATACTTTACAAATTAATACTTTGTTGCGTAGTAGGTATATATTACAAGGATATATTTCTTTGTTAATTGAGTATACAGAAGTGTCCTATGTTTTTCAAAAAATAGTTCAAGCCTCAAAGAACGAGCCATATCGTATATCTACAAAATTTCAAATCCTTTTTTTTTTTTATCACTCTAATGCCAACAATGCAAATAAATTCCTCCACTTCAAACGTTGGCATCATCTGAAATTTAGTGGGTGGCAACAGGAATAATCAAAGATCCAACAGGAATCGAAAGACTCTTAGGATCTTTATAAAACGCGAATTCAAAGGGCCAGGCATTTTCATCAAACGACCTAAACGAGAGGCAACATTTTCACAAAACGAGTTGAGTACCGCTAGCCCAGTAGCATCGAAAGTTTAATTAATGATGCCTCGGACTCGAGGTTCATTCATGGAGCCGAAGAATTCCATGAGCGACTCGCGTCCAAGGGAAAGAGGGAAGAAAATAAAACGCGGTGGCCGGCGAAAACGAGCAACAGGGAGAAGAAGGTTCGAATAAAAATTGGGGCCCACTGATTTTTCTTTTTTTTAAGGCGACGACCCGCTGTGCCCCCCCGAGGAAAATTTCATGTTCTCTCGGTCGCTGTTGTTGCCTCCCTCCTCTTTTTTTTTTATTTCCATTCTTTCTTCCCTTTTTTTTTTTTTTTTTTTCCTTTTGCACTCCACGCTGTTCGTGGACGAGCTAATTCCAGAAGCTTGATTAGTTTTACCGTACAACGAGGCTTCGCGCCCCAAGATCCGACGAGAGCCGCTCTCATTTTCGTGCATAATGCCGGACGAGAGCCCCGTGAGCTTGACTGACACGTGTAATCGGCGCGCGCGAGATACGAGTATCGATTAACTTTGTTGGCTCGTTTCACGATGTGATTTTCTTTACACGATTCTTGCAACGTTTGTTCCTTTTTCACGGGACTTGGTGTTTTCTTTGATTTGAAAGTGTTTTTTTTTTTTTAAAGTATACTTTTTAATTTTAATTTCTGGAGGCTGTAATACGTTTTAATAAAAATAAATAAGATTCTCTGTATCGTGAAACTTATGTGTTTATACATATAAGTCTATCTATACTATATTGATTCACTCATGTATTTCATTCACATTATACATTGTTGTAGAAATACCAAGTGAATCATTTACGATAATCATTAGTTTCCAGATTTTTAATTTGAATAAGTCTTTGTTTTTTTTATCTTTTCTTTAGAGAGATTTAACAATATCCACTTACTTTAGAAAAATTGTTTGTTTAACGAGTTTATAAATTGAATTATTAATTTTTCGCAGTATGTAGACTAGCGATATCGAGTTTAACAAACTTCAATTAAGAATTAAAATCACGATATAGCATTATTGATGAAAGTGTAGCGTCACTTTGTAAAAAACATTTCTTAATTTTAATTCTTCGAGATGACATCCATATATTGAAAATTTAAAAAGAAGTACAAGGTATGCGTTCATAACCACTTTGCATTAAACAGTTTAAGTGCAAACTGCAGTTTCACGAGACAGTGAATTCAAAATTAAATAAAAAAAGACTTGAAATTCAATATTCATTTGAATTGAATACTTCGTATGAAATATAACGCCATGGATTTCTGACAGAATTTTTTCGTCAGTTTTTTTTTTCAGTTTCTAATACAAGTGAGTCGATTTCAATAATACGACAAAGTATCAATCAGTGTACGTAATAATTAATCGGATTATTCCTTTCGCGGAATTATTGCGTAGGTAAATTCATAAATCATTCCATGAAACTCTAAATTATAATCACGAAGATAAATTATTGTTTTTTACGGAAAGTTTTTGTAACACTTGTGTAAGAATTGAGAATGAACAAAAAATAATTCTTAATCGGACACGTGTTTGATTCGTAGTTAATGAAATCTAATTCTCGCTGACAACGCAGTTTTTTTTTTTACGCAAAAGTGCGGAATTCTTTACATTTTTTTTTTGTTTTTTTATATCTTTTGTAATTTGATATTATAGATAAATTTCTACAAAAATTTTATATAAAATTTTTAAATAAAATTCATACTCATTATTTTCGTAAAAGTTCCAACGAATTGTAATTAATAAAAACCATAATATTTTAAAATAAAACTCGTAGACATCTACTCATTTAATTACGGATTTTCGTGCATTTGTAGGAAATTTTGAAGTACAAGAATAAAAAAAAAAAAGAAAAACATATGAAATAGATATTAATCGGAGTATAATATTTTTCCACACTATCATTTTAACATCCTGAAACAATTTTCCACCAAGCTTTTGTTTCTTTTATTACGTTATTATTCTCGAAAAAAGTCCGCCGTTTATTTATGATTTTCATAAAAATTCAAACTATATTTTCAATACATAGTCGTAATCATATAACACAATATTCTAAATAAAAATTCCTAATAACCCTAGTACAAGATTTGTACAGTATTTTTTTCTAAATAAAAATTCCTAATAACCCTAGTAAAAGTATTTGTACAGTTTAAGAAATACGTATTTATACAAATTCAACAAAAAAAAAAAAAATGTCACAATTACACGACAATATTCTATTTATTTTTCACACCAAAATTTTAACAAATCCACATTCCAAAATTTCCATAAAGGTTCAAAGAAAAAAGAAAGAAATAATTGTCATAACTCCTCGCAATTTTCTTTATTCCGCAACTCAACTTAAAGTTCACTTGAGCCTCAAATTTTAGCCTCCGATTTCACAAAACCAAGAAAGAAAAAAAAAAAAACTTCTCCATATATTATAGGTCTAAAACCAGCCTATCTCCGAAAAGAGTCTTCCATTAGAACCTCTTTTCTAATTCGCGCCTTTTTTATTTTCGATCGACGCATACCAAGGATCGCGACGGGTAAAAAAAACCACGAGCGACCGTGGATGACCATGCGGGAACGTGTCGCGCATTCCGTGGAAAATAAGAGATAAGGAAATAAGACGAAGGTTTTCATCTCACGAAGAAGCGGGCAAACACGTGTGTAATGCGCGTTTCCTTTTTTCCTTCCGTTATTCCACTTTCATCCGCTCGCGATGGAGGAGCAACCAGGGGGCAGCAGCCCGACAGTGTAAACAGACGAGGAAGCGAGACATTAGAGTGGAATGAATGCCCCGGGGCGTACAAAATCAGTAATCTCGCCTCTCCTTGAGATAGACGCCCAGCCTAACCCCCGTGTGTGCACGTTCGTCGTTCGCCTTAATGCTCGTGCCGATGCAAAAACGCGGCAATATCGTCGGTAACTGCCCAACCGACGGATCCTACGAAATCTTCGTAAGGTCTACGTCTCTTTCTTTTGTCGCCTGGCGCGTCCTGATTCCGGAAAATCTTCCCGCCTGAGGGGAGAACGACGAGGGCTGATTCTGTCAAGTTTCTCGGCCGCGTGACTCGCGAATATTACATTGAAATTGTTCGTACAGACAGATAGAAAATTATCGATATTTTCTGAATCGGCGTAATTTCGTGAAAAGGAAATGGAATTCATTTTAATTCTTTGAACGTTTAGTCCTAGCGTACTACTGTACAGATAATTTTTTTTTTTATATATATAGCAGTGTACTGTACAGATAATTTTTTTTTTTATACATAGCAGTGTACTGTACAGATGATTTTATATTTTTTATCTTATATTTTTATATAGCAGTATACTGTACAGATAATTATTTTTTTTTTTTCTTTATGTAGTAGTGTATTGTACAGATAATCTTATTTTTTTTTTTTTTATATAGTAGTGTACTGTACAGATAATCTTTTATATATATATAGCAGTGTACTGTATAGATAATTATATTTTTTCTTTTTATGTATAATAATGTATTGTAGATAATCTTATTTTTTTTATATAGTAGTGTATTGTACAGATAATCTTTTTTTTTTATATATAGCAGTGTACTGTACAAATGATCTTATATTTTTTATCTTATATTTTTATATAGCAGTGTACTGTACAGATTTTTTTTATATATAGTAGTGTATTGTACAGATAATCTTATTTTTTTTTTTATATAGTAGTGTACTGTACAGATAACTTTTATATATATATATATAGATATCTATATATATATATATATATATATATATATATATATATATATAGAGAGAGAGAGAGAGAGAGAGAGAGAGAGCAATGTACTGTACAGATGATCTTATATTTTTTATCTTATATTTTTATATAGCTGTGCACTCTACAGATAATTATATATTTTTTTTATATATTTTTTATATAGTAGTGTATTGAACAGATAATCTTTTTTTTTTTATATAGTAGCGTACTGTACAAATAATTTTTTTTTATACATATCATAGTGTACTGTACAGATAATCTTATATTTGATAACAAAATGATTGGTTTACTTACAAAGGGCACAAGAGTGTATTTTTATCTAATAAAGATGAGTGTATTTTTAATTTAAGTAACATGCTCCTCAATCAGCGTTAAACCTTCAGAATCTTGATAATTTCATGAACTTGAAGGATTAAGCGTAAAGTCCCCAATTTGGTTCTTTCTTTCCAAAGAAATTGTAAAGATTCAAACATCTCCAAGAACGTTGAAAATTTGTTTCACGACTGGAGATTCATCGTGATCTCTTGAGAATTGAAATTTTCTCTTTGCAATGTCTTTGTGAAATTCGCTGTACAAATTGTTTTTAAATTCTCTCTGAACATTGAAATTAGATGAACGTTAAAAGATTTTTTTAAATTTTCATCGTTAAACCATAATCGTTCAATCTTTACTAGAGCTTGCTTACTGAGACTCACGCAGTAAATAAGTTTAAATCTGGAAATCGCCAAATCTATTATAAAATCAAGATCTTCCATATTAAGTAACGAATGGCTAATTCAACTTGACTTTCGTTTCCAGGACGCACATGGAATTGGATGAACGTCGGGAAGAATGTAAAACGTGGCAGGAAGAAGGGAAAGAGGAACAGGTAAGAAAAAAAAGTGGAAAAGTCAAAAGAGAGCCGGACACAGGTGGGTGTCGGCTTCGTTTGTAACGCGAGTCCTTCTCACCCTCTTCCACTTCTTCTAGTCCACATCCTCCTAAGAAACGACGATCTGAGGTATCCCTACGAAATCCAGATCACAAGGTGATAGAATTTCTTGTTTATACAAGTTGCACACGTCACAGTGAACGTAACTTGTTCCTTCCAGGATTTTTGAATGACAACATTCCTTTGCATAGAGTCGTCTCGTCAAAATCTTTTTCGATGTCCATTTCAAATGAAATTAGAAACGAAAACTGTTACATTTGCTCAAAATATGTGGAAAATTAGAATCAGCGATATTCCGAGACGAGGGATTTCAAATATTGATTTTTAAATATTTTTGATCACTTTGCATTTGGTCGAAATCTTCTCTCCTTCAGGGGTGGTATGTAGAAAATAAGGGTTGTTAATATCTTTATCTATATTTTAATATATATATATATTTTTTAATATTTATATTCTGTATATTTCAAATTTTAATTTTTATTTAATTTTGTTTAATATATATATTTTTTAATATCTATATTCTGTATATTTTAAATTGTAATTTTTATTTAATTTTGTTTAATATATATATTTTTTAATATCTATATTCTATATACTTTAAATTTTAATTTTTGTTTAATTTTATTTAATATATATATTTATATTTTTTAATATCTATATTCTATATACTTTAAATTTTAATTTTTGTTTAATTTTATTTAATATATATATTTATATTTTTTAATATCTATATTCTATATACTTTAAATTTTAATTTTTGTTTAATTTTATTTAATATATATATTTATATTTTTTAATATCTATATTCTATATACTTTAAATTTTAATTTTTGTTTAATTTTATTTAATATATATATTTATATTTTTTAATATCTATATTCTATATACATTAAATTTTAATTTTTATTTAATTTTATTTAATATATTTTTTTTAATATCTATATTCTATATACTTCAAATTTTAATTTTTGTTTAATTTTATTTAATATATATATATTTTAATATCTATTCTATATACATTGAATATTAAATTTTAGTTTTTATTTAATTTTATTTAATATATATATTTTTTAATATCAATATTCTATATACATTAAATTTTAATTTTCGTTTAATTTTATTTAACATATATATTTTTTAATATCTATATTTTATCTGTCGAATTTGAGCGATACCATAAATAATTCATCTCAGGAATTCTCAGCACTCACTTTGTCTGAAGATCTTCGATACAATGGCGTCAGTACCATGATACGTCGCAAATAAATAACAACGCATACATAAGACGCGCAAAATTCACGTGTTAACGAACGAATGACTAGCAGAATCTACTTAGAAACTTGCAACTCCAGTTTCTATCGTGCGCGAACACCGTATCATAAAACTATCGGTGCCGTCGGCGCGGATCACTTCCATCTTTGTCACTTCCAGTCACGTCGCCGTTCACCAAGACTATTCTTGGATACCCTGTCTATCGTCCCGTGGTGAACTTAATCACCGAGACTCGTTTGCATTTACTCCGCAGTCACCGTCGTTACGCGATTTCATCAGCGAACGATCGGTAAAAAGATGCAGACGCATCTGTTATTTACAAAATGTACAACGAGCCGATGAATCGAGTGAGAGGGCGGTACTGTGGAAAATAGATAACGCGATTAATTTCGACGCTAATAGTTATCCGAGAAATTCATTTACGCCCCGATGGAACAGCGTTTTTCCTCCCCCTCCCACCTCCCCCTTCCAGTGTGACTCGTGCTACGCAGGATCATTCCGCGCCTCTTCGTGTTTCAAGGACCTCTCGGAGGGTTTCTCTCTCGAGAAGGTTGCGCGTACCGGTGAACACGTTGCATAGAGGTGCGCTCGCTGCGAGCTCAATGGGCCGTGTCGGTATGCACGGAGATGACGTTAGCTTTGGAATGTTTGCACGTGGCTGCGGTGCATTCCTTTCTGAAAGAACGTGCGCACTTGCATCGCGATCGGGGAGAAACGAAAACAGGAAAAATGCGACGACCTGGTTCGTCCCTTGTATCAATTTCGGACGTTTTTCGTACGACCACGATGTAAAATTGACGATAGATATTGTACGTTGAATAGAAATTTATTGTTAACGAGAGAAGAATTTGAGAGGAGCATTAACTTCTAAATTTTGATACGTAGATTTTAAATTTTTGAAATTTAAAATTGTTGAAACGGAGGGATGAAAGTTAAGGAAGAGTGGTGTATTTACAATTAGTATTGGTTACTTCAAATTTATTGCAGTCTTGATCAAAGTTAAATTTCGAAAAATTTGATTTTATAGTTTAAATATGGTATTATTATATATATACATAGTATACTATATATATTAGTATTTTATAGTAATTTTATAGTATAAATATTTATAGTATAGTATAAACTTGATATATAGTATAAATTTAACGAAAGTTAACTAATTTTAAATTTAAGTTTAACGTTAAAGTTAACTAAGAAAGTTAGGTTTGACATTAAAGTTAACTAAGAAAGTTAGCTTTAACTTTAAAGTTAATTAAGAAAGTTAGGTTTAACTTTAAAGTTAACTAAGAAAGTTAGGTTTAACTTTAAAGTTAACTAGGAAAGTTAGGTTTAACTTTAAAGTTAACTAAGAAAGTTAAGTTTAACTTTAAAGTTAAGTAAGAAAGTTAAGTTTAACTTTAAAGTTAACTAGGAGAGTTAAGTTTAATTTAAAGTTAAGTAAGAAAGTTAAGTTTAACTTTAAAGTTAACTAAGAAAGTTAGGTTTAACTTTAAAGTTAACTAAGAAAGTTAAGTTTAACTTTAAAGTTAAGTAAGAAAGTTAAGTTCAACTTTAAAGTTAACTAAGAAAGTTAAGTTTAACGAAAGAAGAAACATCTTTCTCTTATGATTTTTCTGTCAGTAAGCTTTAATACTTCATTACAATATCGAATCGTGAGAGTCGTAGATATAGCTCAACTATTGTAAATTCTTTTATTGCAACCTGAACCGATCTAAATATAAATGAATCTGAAATTAATTTTTAAAAGTTTATCTCGAGAGAAAACATAACGTTTCTCATAATATAATAAGATGACAAATTACAAATTCTTACAATATGACAGACTATCGTACAAGTGTAAAATATTCAAAGTGTAAAATAATAAATGTAAAATATTCATGCAGGTGTTAATCATAATCTCAAAAATATGAATTTGCATAAAAATCCACAAATCTGATCAATACCGATTAATAGCTCAACACAATTCCAATAAAACTGCATTATTTATAAAGTGTCGTAATAATCAAACTAATATCAAGTTTGATTTTTACAATAAACCGTCGACTGAAGTTATTAAAAGTACACGCCACGATGTTAAAAAGTAGACAAAGTAGAGCTGGTAACGGATATCGGCACGATTCCCACGAACTGAGCAACGCGATAAAAAAAAGCCTATCTAGTCGGCAACGTTCGAGGACAATTCCTCTAGTTGATCTTATGAAACACAACGTGTACGTGGCCGTCGATTTACAGTTTCACGTTGAAATCATTGTCTGGTACGGGCAATCAACCCGACGATGGTTACACCATGGACGAGACGAATATCTCGTCTCTTTTTCATCACGAACGACCGATCGTCGATCGTAAATCCCTGACGTTTGATTTCCCGTGATCTTATTTCCGTGAATAACATGGAACAAACTAGAACACGACAGATGTGCACAGTGTTTCGACTGTGAGTTCCGGCCGAACAATTTTTACATTGATTGAAAATCAAATTGGACATACAGGGAATAAAAACGTTTTTTCATTCGTGATAACATTGCATATTTATAGTGAAAGTTAATTATATTACGGTAAAACAAAATTTCAGTTTGCAGCACTTTTTTTTTTTTTGTATAAAAAAAATAAAAAAAGGAACCAAAAGTAAGTACGTGATGGGACAAGATTTTAAGGCAGAGTGAGAAGAAGAGGTAGGAGATAACGAAAATCAGGCTGTCGCTCGGGAGCTTAATCATGCGCGCCAATTAACGCGGGGATGATTAATTTTTGTAGCGTGCTCGCTCGTTCGACACCCTCGTGGGCCTGGCTCGTCCACGCTCGATTTATTGGGATTAGCCGCGGTTCGTACAGCCGGGCGTATCCTGCAATTGAAAATTCTACGTTGTCACGAATATGACGTAGCCACGTGGGCGTCTGATTCCGACTGATCAGCCTTAATTCGGGAAACTTGTTGCTCCTATGCTGGCTTCGTGCAACAGGCAATCAACTTTCCCTCAAAATAAAACTCGAAATTCTATGTTTGACGTGAATTCTTCTCAATATATCAAATAAATCGCGCGTAATCATTCATATAATTACTTTCTTCGTTTCCTTTAGTGAAATTAATTCGTTTCCTTTAGTGAATTAATGCGGATTTTTTTTTTTTAATTATTCGCGTGTTTTGTACATAATTAAAAATAAACAATCGTTTCAAATAATCAAAATTTTTCATGTTCCATGATCCTTTGAGTTCCATCACGTTATTAGAATCTTGATTTCTATTTTTGCTATCTGTTATCTTTATTATATAAAACTTCAAAGTTAATTTCTCTTTGAAATTTATGTTACATTTATATGACAGAGATCGGCATTAACATTGTTATGGAATTAAAAATTCAGCAAATTCAAGCAACGTAAAACAAGGTGATTATTTTTAATTAGTTAGTTTTTCAAAGTCAAGAATAAATTGAATCATTCATCAAAAATATTTCTGTTCCGACAACGTAAATTGCTAAATATCTTCTGTGCGAATCCCATCGTACAAGAATTAACCAGTTATATGTAGATTCTCGTGTCGGGCCAGTAATTCTCCAGTAATTTTGAAACGAAGTAATTTTGCTATCCAACGTTCAAACACGGCCTCGCTCGATCGGACACGCGAATAGTAATTACAGCTTTAAAACCTAATCGAAGAAGAAAACGGT